CGTCCCTAACGCTTCTCACGGACGCCACACTGCCGCTGCGGCAGCAGGTGCCGGCGTGGCAGGTCACGGGCGACTTTGCCCAGTACTCGCGCGCGTGCGTCTACTATGTCACCTGTGTCATGCTTGGTGTCGCGATCGTCGCCACGGGCTATATGCTCACGACCCGCGGCCATTTCGAAGGCCAAAATCTGCTCAAGTTGGATCGCATCGGCGGCATAGTGTGGGTCGGTCGCCCCGTGTTGTTTCTCCGGAGTCTCACCGCGCTCTGCCTCCTCTCGACGGCCAGCCTGGACCTCGGCACGTCGGGTTTCGTCAGCTACTTTGACCGAACGCCGTTGCCGTTTTACAAGACGCTACTGGCGTCCTGGGAAGTCGCGTGGCTCGTTGTCGTCGTCGACGACATGGGGCTTGTCGTGACACGCGAACACGCGCGGTGGTACCTCTCGATCCACTCGGTGGTCGTCTGCTGCGGCGCAGTGTTCTACTCGTACTTTATCCCGGTCGCGCCGAGTTTGATTGTTCAGAAGCAGTGCCACGTGGTGGAAATGGACATGCAGTTACTCTGCGCATCCGCCGACTTGATGATTGGACACGTGCGTCGACTTGTCGGTATCGTGGTCTGCACGCTCCTGTCGCACCTGCTCGGGTACATTCTGGCGCGTCTTGTGATTGGACCGTTGCGGCCGACGATGGTGACGTCGCGCCTCTTGTCGGCTGGCGCCAAGTACTTGTACAACCACAGTCGCTGCGTCGTACACGGTGTCTACTACCTGGACCGCGCGTCCGCGGCGCTCAATGGTGTCCTCACGTATCGCCACCAGAACGTCCTGTACGCATTCGACATCAAGCTGTGGCGGATCCTGGCAGCGCCCGTGCCAGACGACGGGGATCTGCGAGACGCGCTGCCACTCCCCGACGGAGTCGTGGGCAATGAGCCATGGACGACGTTGTAACGTGCTGGGATTGGTCAATAATGAAACGTCAAATTTTCTGATTGGACGTTTGGTATGCGTATCAACTTGATATTTATGACGTGGCAGTATCTACATTCGGCATCGAATACAAGAAACCGATGTCTGCTCTCGCGGAACAAAGCAAACACATACATATGCAACGTTGGGGACTTGAAGTTGAACATTTTACGTGGAGGCGACACGAATGATTCTTCAAGTGAGTCCCTCAAAGACCGTAAACGGAGCGAATTCTATCTACTCGACAAGCGGAAACGACGCATTTAGCGTGGCTTGGTCGAGCCCCGGGACGTCGACGGCGTTGCGTATCGGCGCCGCGAAGAAGCGCCAGAGCTTGATGTCAAAGGCAAACATGGTCGACCCGAGCTTGTACGTGAGAATGCCGTTGAGCGCGGCAGAGGCCCGGTCCAGGTAGTAGACGCCATGCACGATGCGAGCCGAGTGGTTAAAATGATACCGCGCGCCAAGCGAGAGCAAAAGCGAGTGCACGGGGCTCGTCGGCTTGGGTCCTACCATCCGCTTGGCAAGCAAATAGCTCACGATATGGCACGTGCCCATAATGAGGAGGAGCGTCCCAAAGCGGTTTGGGTCGCCAATGGCAATGTTGGCGCTCTCGCAGACGACGTTAAAGTCCATTTCCGCATAGACGCACTTTGGTGCTACGTGCAGCGCGACGGCAACGGGCGACACACCCGAGAGCATCGCAACCACGACGCACACCACCAGTAGGTTGGGGAAGACAAAGTACGAAGCGTACTCTTGCGTCGCGACAAGCAAGATGTCGTCGACGACCGCGACGAGCCACGAGACCTCCCACGCCGCGAGGAGCACCTTGTACCACGGCGCGGGCTCGACCTGGAAGTAGCTGAGGTAGCCCGAGAAGTGCAGGTCGACGCCGCTCGTGCAGAGAAGGCAGATGGCCGTGGCACTCCGGAGAAAAAGCAGTGGTCGACCGACCCAGACAAGACCGCCGACGCGATTGAGCTTGAAGAGGTTGCTGCCATGAAAGCACGTGGGCGACCGGAGCATGTAGCCAACGGCGACGGCCGAGACGAGAAGCATCATGACCGTGACGTATTGAACGCCAGCTCGAAAGTACAAAACAAGGTTGGCGGCGAGGTTCGAAGCCTGGACTTGCTGCGCAAGCGGAAGCTGGTAGTCGCTCAAGAGGTTGAGACGACTTGCATCGCCTTGGAACGAGATGACTTCGCGCCGACCGAGCACCCAGTCGTAGAGGTACGTCCAGCCGTAAAAGTAAAAGCCAGGGTCGGCTGGGTCCAGAACGTTGGTGTGGAGCAGCTGCAGCGATCCGTTGACCTTGGCGTAAAGCATAAACTCAATGTCGAGTGCCTGAACGAGCGCGTGCGTGGACGGAACTGGGAGCGTGTGCGTCGCTGGCATGTATGTTTGTATAAACTCGAGGGACTGCTGGAGCGTGAGGAGGCACGACGTCAAGCTTGTCGGGTCGTATGCGCAGACCTGCGACATGTTGACGGGAGGCGTCGCCGCACTGAGCCCCGAGAGGATCGCAGACGCGATGAAGCTCTGGGACGTCAGGATCGACCGGCTCACAACCGGAGAGGCAGCAATGCACGAGAGATCGAACGCCAGCATGCTAGAGAAGCCACTCGTGACCGATTTCGGCGCAGAGAACTCGGGGCAGAGCAGCGAGCCGCCGTACGAAGCGATCTTTGGAGCCAACCATTTCATGGGCACGGGAAAACAAGATCCGGAGGGCATCATAGCAGAGAAGGCAGCTTGTGCAGCAACGTTGCCGTGGTCCATGCCCAGTCGCATGAGCTCTAAGATCTGATGGGTGACGTTGACAACCAGCGGCGGCACACGCATGTAGATCATGTCGACGGTCCCAAACGGCCCCAGCCGCTGCGAGACGACCTCCAGTCCGTTTTGGAGCGGCGACGTGAGCGTCCCGTTCGCTATCAACACGGCTTGGAGCGTCGTATTGAGAAAAGCAAAGTGACTGCTGCTCCGCAAGAGACTGCGCCCTCCAATGCCACTGCTATTGCGCATGATCGCACTTAAGTCGTTGGCGAGGGACCAGTACATCTTGTACGTTGTCTGGCTGTCGACGCGGAAGGCGCCATTGAGCTGCATAAGAGTAAGTGGATGCGATGCGCCGTAGGCATTCGTGATCGAGTAGCTGTTCATGACGCCGATCCGCTTGTAGTTCTGCCACTGCGTGTCGTAGCGCTCGACTCCGTGTTGGCGCCAGTAGGCGACTTCAATCGCCATGGGCAATGGACTCGCCGATACCATATCGAGCCATTTCTGGCCGGCCACGGACCCGCGCAGGTCCCGAGCGAACGCGGTTTCAAACGCACTGCCCCAGCATGCCGTCCAGTCGCGGAAGTCGATATTGCGCAAGAGAGACTCGAGGTAGACGGCGCCGTTGGCTCTCATGCTGGCGTGGCAGCGAGCTTGGCGCGCTGCTGAATAGGCGACCTCGAACGTCCGATCAAAATCGAGAAAGCAGTAGGGCGAGAAGATCCAGGGGGCCATGCAGGCGTCCGAGGCCCGGAGGCCGGCAATGGCAACTTCGATAGTCGTGAGCTGGGTATGCTGCAGCATCGCACCGTAGTTGTTGGGGGCGCTAACCGCGGCGCTGGGGGCTGCAAAAGCTCCCGGTAGCGTAATACTGGGTGCGTCAAGCTCCAGAGCCGTTGTCGAGAGACCGAGCACGAGCTGTTCGTTGAGCCAGTTGGCGAAAAACGCGTGGGCGCCCGTGACGTTAAAGTTGGCCCAGTAGTAGTCGTTGGCGAGGTGGACCTGCGAGACTTGAAAGTACGAAACGCTGCTTACGACTGCAAATACGGTATGGCCCAAGGCCAAGAACGCCACCAGCCGATTGGAGCGTTGCTTGGTCATCCAAATAATCCTTGAGGATTTCTCGACCTTTGCCCCGATCTCTTCTTTTCGCGGCCCCGCCACTTGGATCATGGTATAGGCGTTGATGGTCGGCGGACGAAAGACCTTGAGATGGCGCGCTTTCTGGGTGCCGTCGGCCACAAAGTGCCAGAGCTTCAGGTTGAAAACATACGACTCGGACCGGAACCACACTGGCACCAAGCCGCAGAGGACGCACGTCACGAGATCAAACGTGGCGCCGTCTGGGTCTGACGCCATTGGCATCGCAAACAGGGCTGTCGCACTGGAAAAGTGCAAACTCGGCTCCGTGTCGACGTCCGCTGGCTGTCGCCGACGCCACAGTAGGCTCGCGACGACCGTGACGATGACGACACTGACGTGGATACTGAGTAGCGTCAGCAGTCGGGTGTAGCTGCCGACTGAGATGACACCGCTCGTGCAAAGAAGACCATAGTCCATGTCATTGCCGACACATCGTCGGTCCAGCGTGATGGTGAGCGGCACGGGCGACGCCATATCCAGAGCCAACAGGCTCAGCCAGACAAGACAGGTGCTCTTTGGACTGTACTGGGTCGTGACGTCTCTTGGTAACAGCACGATAAGCACCTCGTTGATGACGTACGTGAGCCACGTGGCTTCACCGGCGATGACCATCGCGTTGCCGATGGAGCGGGGATGTGGCGCCAAGGTCGTGCCCAATGGCGTCACTTGCAAGCTCACTTGGGCCGAGCTAAGGAGCAAAAGCGCGCTGATACCACGGAGAACGACCAGCGGTCGGCCGATCCAGACGGCGCCAACCAACCGGTTGAACCGAAAGAGGTTGAGGCCGAGGACACGGCCGCGGGCAAAGAGGGTGACGTACACCATTGTGAGCACGCCCACAAAGAGGAGGAGGCCTGTCGTGACTTGCACAAGGTACAAAAGTGCCGTCGTCGCCGTCTCGAAGGATGCGTTGCTCGTAATGTACGGCTGACCCGCGTATGCGTTGGAGACGACAGTGACGGCGCCGACGTCACCCTCGATGAAGAGCACTTCACGGAGTCCAGCGGCCCACTCGAACAGGATGTGATGGCCAAAGAATGGCCAGTCGACCAGCGGCACATGGTCCAGCGCAATACGGCTCGAGTTATTAGCGACAAACTGAACGAGCCCGACGTTCATAGCTCGGACAGCGTCCAAAGCGTCGCGCTGCAGCTGTAGCAGCTCGGAAGGGATGGGCACTGACGCAAGCAGCGACGACGCCGGCGACAAGGCACACCAGTCGGGTGTCGATGACGTGGCGCAAATATCTGGTACTAGTAGGGTTGTTCGTGGCGTGAATAGCAGTCCAAATAGCATTGAGAGTCGCGTGAGACGCAGTGAGAGTGGTGCGAGCTGCGCGCAGGTATCGTAAAAATCAAACGACTGCTGCACGAACGAGGTCGGAACACCGGACGAGCACATGGGGTTGCCGCCGAAGAACGACATGTTGGTCCACGCCAGCGGTGTGGGCAAAAACGTGGTGGTCTCTGGGAGGGCGAAAAACGCTGTCATGGCTGCTTCCGAGCCTCGCACGTGGTCCATGACCACTTGTTGAAAGTGGTTGTAGAGGCCAACGAGACTGGCGGGGGCAAGCACAGACGCAAGTCAATGCTCAAGTACGGTCCAATCGTGTCGTGAAAGACTTTAGCGACGCCTTCGAGGTTGCCTTGGGCGTCGGCGATGCCTCGGTACACCTCGAGGCTGATGGCGCTCAAGCCGAGCGCCGAGTTGTTGGCGCCAAAGTACCGGCTCGTCCCTTGCAGAAAGCTGCGGTTCATGGCCTGCGCGTTGAAGGTATCTTGGATCGGGATCCAGTGCATGGTTTGGGACGACCACGGTCCCGTGACTTGATCCAGCGCCTTGAGGATGATCTGCTTTTGCATCCCCAAAGCGTTTTCCATCACGATCGTCTCGGTGATCGCGGGTCCCCACCGGTTCTGCCACTGCAGCGCAAAGTGGGAGACGTTGAACGACCTCCAGTACGCGATCTCGTCGGTCACGGACGTCGTGACGCTGGTCACCTGCGCCCAGAACGCTTGCCCGCGCGCTGTCTCGACAAGCCCTCGGTAGTACGCGACGTTGAAGCGCTGGCCGTGGACCCCCCAGAGCGCGAGAAAGTCGGGGATGTTTTGGTTGCGCAGCAGGGCCTCGATGTAGACGGCACCATTGGTCGCGTAGAAGCGCTCGCAGCGGCGCTGGCGGCCAAGCGTGTGGGCGACTTGGAACGTTTTGTTAAAGTCCATCCAGCAGTGCTGTGTGTTCATGCGCAGCGCCCAGTAGGCGCCCAAATCGCGAAGCTGTGGCACTGCATACTCGAGCGACGTGAGGCGACCGAGCGTGAACGCTCGAATGTCGGACGAGTAGACGAGCGTGCTCGACTCGGACGCGACGTACGTCTTGGGCAGCACTGCGGCGGCGGCGAACGAATCCAAGGTGCCATTGTTATGCGTCAAAAGAAGCTGGTTGACAAGGTCAACGAGGTAGGCTTGGTGGCCCGAGATGTTGTAGTGAGCCCACCAGAGGTCGTTGGCGAAGCTCGGGCCAAGAAGACTGAGGTACCACACGCAACCGACGAGCGACAGCAGCACGTAGACGACGCCGCAGACGGCAACCGCCCGCTGGCGCGACGAGAGCGCCGCTTGAGGCGCCATTTCCAACACTGGGAAAGTGCAGCGAACGTTTCGCACTTCGGTCCATAAAAAGCTTGTACAATATTGTACTGTACTAGCAAAGGGTGGATCCCTTGCTATTCAATCTCCTTGGGACTAGTACTGTACTGGGATATGGACGGATCCGCGGTGTAACCGGCGACTCCTTATCACATGGCGGCCGCAGCCATACCAACACATCTCCGAGCATGGGTGGAGAGAGAATCTCGGCGAGTAGGTCTTCTCTGTACTAGCATGGCTGGCTCGGCGCTGACAGCTGAGGCCAGAGCGGTGTCGTTACCGCGGGGCGTGCAGATAGACAGACCATGCGAGTTGTAGAAAAGAAACCACGGTGGGAGGCCATCGTCCGAGGTGGCCGGCTCGATGGACTTGAAAAACGCAACACGTCCAGGGTTCAAATATATAATGGCATATCGAGCAGCGCAGACACACACACGATGCGGCTGCTTAGTACATGGCCTGGGACCGGAACGTCGGGTTCGACTTGATGTTGTTGATGAGCGTCTTGATCTGCTTGAGGTCGGGCTGCGGCAGCTCCGGGTTCAGGTAGTTCTGCATGAGCCACTGGTAGCAGTCGTTCGGGTTGGCGTTCTTGTTGTTGAGCAAAAACATCGTCACTTGCGTGCGATACGGGTTGGGCTTGCGGCCGCGGCGCTCGCCGCCTTCGCCGCCCTCGCCCGGCGCCTTCTTCGTCTTGGGCTGGCTCAGGTTGGTCAAGACGCGGTGGATCTCTTCTTCGGTCGGGTAGTTGGTTTCGTCGAGCACGTTCGACTTGAGCCACATGAGGCACTGCGACGCGTCCATGGCCTGGCCGAGCGCAAAGTAGCGCGCAATCTCTTGGCGAAACACCTTGGAGATGCCACGGCGGCCACGGCGCGGCGCGTTCGGCGAGTTGGGGTTCTTCGTCAAGCTATGGCCCTTCTCGAGGAGCGAAAAGTCGCGGCGGCCTACGTCTTTTGCATGAGCCAACCTGTCTCGCTCGTCACAGTAAGCGTACCGGCCGCGTAGCTGTGGGGCGCCACGTTGACCGTGTAGCCGCACGAGGCGAGCGTCGAGTTGAGGTTGATGTTGGTGAAGCTGCCGCTGAGAGCGCGCGGACGCAGCGAAACTCAATGCTCTTCTCGGGCAGCTTGACGAGCACTTGAAGAGGTTCTGGACGAGCATCTGCTCGCAGCAGCGGGGGCACTGCGCTTCTGCAGCTGCACGCGTTCATGATCGTCGTCGACATGCTGCTGTCCGGCGCTGGCGAATGGGAACTGCCCGAACAGCAAAAAAGATTAATACAGCGGGTAGGGTAGGGGTGCGCGGTGATTGGCCAAAAGGCCCAACGGGACGCGCGCGGATTGGCTACATTTTAAAAGTTCAAACCCGGCGGTTCATTTTTTCACCGCGGGCACTGGCTTCCATACTGAACGCAAATGAGGGGCAAAAAATTGAAGTCGGAATTCACGCGCGTGCATTTTATTGCATAATAAAATGCACTTCCATTCGAAAAAAGAGCGTGAAAATCCGGATATTTTTATTCGAGTGGCGGCCACGCGGCGGCGAAAAAACCAAGCACGTTTGCGCGCACTCGTTTTGGCCAATGACAGCGCCAGCGTATCGAAACCCCTCGAAACTCAATTTTACCAGTATAAAAATTCGACGGAAACCTGGTTTTATATTCGCGTCGCTTTAATTCGACTTTGCACGCGCGAAGCACGCGCGACGCCCATGAATTAATATTCCCGCGGCACCAGGAATGGACAACTTGTCTGGGATCGCGCCGCACGACGTGGCGAGCGTCGCCATGCAGTCGCGCGCCGGACGATCCACGTGCTGTCTCGTCGCAGTCGGCCACAACAAGATCTGGTTGCCGCCGTTGGCGCCAAAACGACACTTCAACATGCGGGGTCGGCGCTTGCAATGCTACACTAGCGCGGGAGCCACAGACTCCAAGATAGGACGAGATGTATGTATTAGTGTGTGCGGGCGGTTCAAAGAGCTAAAGGCACACTATGCACGGAACTACACATTTCCAGTCCAGAAATGGTGGTTCGTGTCGACTGCTCCTAGTCGAGCGATTGAGACACTGGTTTACCACCAGCTCGCCACCAGGTAGATCCAGGTTCAAATCCCAAAGAGGGCCCCACTCTCTCACATGTACGACGACGCGCCCGCGACAACGTATCCTGCGACCATGCAAACGGCGCTCGATCGTTGTACGTGCATTTCTCTAATGCCAACTCTCACACGCTGTGCACGCGCAACGAAGGTGGTCGGTGTCCGTACTGCAACCTCAGGCAGCACGTTTCAATGCTTGCACGGGTCTTTTTACCTGCGCCCGCGGTGTGTATTGCGTGCAGAAAGAAAATGCTACGCAGTATTAGCAAGAATGCGTACAAGGTCTCTATTGGTACAATAAGGTAAGGGTCTAGAAGGCTACACGGCCAGCCTATCGTGGCGTCGTGTTAGTCAAACGCGAGCCGGCGCTTCCGGCGCGTCAGCTTGGCAAAGTACGAGCTTGGGGTTGAATCGTTCATAGCCCGTGTCGTCGCCGCCACGTTGTCGCTGCAGAGCGCCTTGGCCTTGGACGCCGCCCGCTCGAGCTCCCGCTTGGTCAAGCGAAAGTAAACAGGTGCTGGCGCCGGCGGCTCTGCTCGTAGCTTCTTGAGTGGCCGCTCGTCGTCGCTGTCATCGTCCGTGTCTTGGGCGTCGATCTCCCAGATCGACTGCTCGATGCGCGAGCGGGTCGGCGCCGCTGCTGGCAGCGACGCGGGTGCAACGATGATAGTCTACGCAGCGCCATGAGCTTCATAAAGGCGCCTAGGCAACGGACCAGCATGGAGAGGAGGTCGGCGAGGAAGGAGGAGCAGCGAGGTCTCGGGCAGCCGCGCCAATTCCTGTACCTTGTCGGGCTGTTTGCAACTGGGATCAAACGTTTGAATGTCATTATCCGGAATCCCGGATACAGCATTCGAATTTTTGAAACCGTGGGAGCCCTGTTAAGTGCGATTTTAGAGTCTGTGTTTTTATAAGTCTTCCGTAAAGTACGGAAAAAGACTTATCTGGCCTTCGCGCCCCACGGCGGTGCAGCCAAAATGGCGCGACCAGCAGCGAGTCCACCCGGTGCAAGTTCGGGTAGAACCCCAAGCTCAAGATATTACAAGATTGTACAACCAAGACCTTGATCCAAATTGAACGCTGTGGCAGTTGACTTGTGACTGGTTGTCCCAGAGATCAAGTACAGCAACCGTAACCGCAATCCCTTTCTAACCCGAAATGCGGTTGCCAGCGACGCTCACGTCTCGACAGCGCGCAGCCGCAATCTACAGCGTTGACTTCTTCTGCTCTCGCTCGTCGACTGTAGCCTCCTTGGGCCAAGCGTTGGCAACGACCTCTGGTGGAGCCAACTGCAGCGTGTCAAGTTGCTTCATCGTTGTGACGCAACTTTTAACCAATGATCCCAATCGACCTGCCTTGAAGCTCTTTGCTTGTGGGCGCGTTCGTGTCAGCGTCGAGACTTGTGCGATATGAGGCGGCGACAGCAAGTGGAATCTCGCGCGTGATTTGGAAAACCGTCGAGCACCTTGCACTCGCTTGGCGCGTTTTCAACAACACAGCGCGCATCGTGCAGGGCGTCTACTCCTTGGACTAGGCTTTTTGTGCCTTTGATTTCATGCTCTGGAGCTTCCTAGCAGCACCGATACGCAACGCTGCCGACATCACGGCCCGACCAAGCGGATGCGTCGTTCAGTTGGAGGAATCAAATACGAGACGTCACTCGACAGCCTACGCGAGTCGTTGTGCGCGTGACGGCGTAGCGTCGACGATCCGCACGACATGCATCGTCAATGCTTTCGCAGGCATGATGAGCCACCCGGTGGACGTGCAGCTAAAAGGATGTTGCCGACAAGTACCCGATGATGCAGCTCGTGGTGGAATTTTGTGCGATTTTGTTTTTTGACATTTAGCTCTGGATCACAGCTCTGCTGGCGGCGCACTCGCCGCCAGTGTAAGGGTTTCTGGCGGCTTGGCAGCATCGGAATGCGTTGGGTGCCATGGGGCGATGGGTGGACACACTGCGCAGCCTTGGCAGCACGCGGTGCACACGGGACCGATTTGGCTCTGGGGAATGAGAATCAAGTCGGCGGTGAGCTTGGTTGTCTTCATGTCGAGGACGGCGCGGAGCGGCTTTTGCTCGTCGGCCGTCTACCAGCCGTCCTTTGCAGAGTACGGTTCGATCGCACACAATGGATCACAGTACCGGGATGACGGTAGGTACAAGGTCGTCTTCGTGGGCGTAATACCCCAACCAGTACGTCTGCAGCGCTTTCACCGGCCATTGATGCGGGTTGGCGCTCGATGTCATGAGGAAGAGTGCTTCCTGGTACATGATGTGCCGCCTACGCATCTCTCGGTGGTGGCCACATTGGCGTAGACAGCAAGGGACTACCGCTGGACGCTGCCGTCTTGCTGGAGCTCGATGCGAGGCCGCACCGACTCGAACGTCAAGTCGTCGTCGTCGTCCATAACCACCATGCCAATGACCGAGCTCAGGCCGCCCTACGCCGCGTCAGCCGCCGATACCAGCGACATCGCATGGGTACCGGGCGACTCCCAACAACATAGGAATGCTCGACGAGCGGGTCGACAGGAAACAGGAAGACGCGTACCTTGATGCGCACGACCATGACGACGGTTCGACAAGATTCGCGATCTTTGCACCTGGTCTTTCTACAGCATCATAGCTTGCAGGGTGTACAGGATCCTGCTGGTCTCGTCGCTCAGTTATATCCAAGCGAGAGAGGTTGATTGGCGCAGGTCGGGAGCTCCACGATCAAGGCGTGCTGCCGTGTGGGACGTCGCCACGAAGAGAAAGGACGAAGATAGAATCAAAATTGGGATGGATGCTTACGCTACGCCTATGCGCTCTGCTGCTCGCCGATGCGGATCTTGAGCTGCATGACCTGGATGACGGCCTCGAGGTTCGTGCGCTTGGCCTCGATCACTTCCTTGAGCGAGTCTGTGTTCTTTTGCAAAAACTCGACCTTGCGGTCCATGAAGCTCTTGGCATCGTCCACATTCTTCTCGACAAAGTAGCCAGTACCAACGTCGACGAGCACGCTCTTAACGTTGCTGAGCTTCCCGGGCACGAACATGGACGACGTCAGCGGCACGAGCACCTTCTTGCCGAGGTTCGTGGGCTCGAGTGCCTGGAGCGCGCCCTTGGAGTCGGCGAAGCGCGTCTGCGCCTCGCGCAAGCCCGAGAAGGACGACGTGAGCTGCTGCAGCTCTTGCTCGAACTGCGTCTTGAGGTTGTTGAGCTGCTCGAGGCTCAGATCCATCAAGCTCACTTCATTCGACATCGTAGCGACCACGGAAACTCCAAATGGGCGTGCGCCTGGCAGCGTATCCGGAGTGGCAGGGTATCCGGACAATTATGTTTAAAACAGTATATAGGACTGTTTTGTATCGCTCGATCGCGACTCTCCAAGATCCAACGCGCGATCGACACCCAGAGCCCCCCGACGTCAAGCGCTGCATATTACTAGCGAGGAAAACGATGCTACATCGCGAAGGCACACGTGGATATATACGGACATGAGTACTAAAGGCGACACACATAGCGACAGGCTGTGGTGCGATGGCATTGTTTTATACACTTCTTGGTGAGCATGTTTATAACAAATAAAAACATCGTTACCAGCAGCCTCATTTTCGACTTCTGCCAGGATGGACCCGTCGTCAGCGCCCGGTACCGAGTTCTTCTCAATGGAGAACATGGCCAAAAATGAGGCCGTCGTCGAGTTCACGCACACGGCCATGTCGGTCGTCTCGGGCAGCCTCGCCGGCGTCATGGGCCTCACGGGTCTCCAAGGCTTTGGCTGCATGATCCTGCTCTACCTCGCGACGTCCGGCGCGCTCCTCGCCAAGATGGGCGCTGACTGCTCGCCGTACTTCAACATGAACGTCGTCAGCTTTCTCTTCTACGGCATTGGCGGCCACCTCGTCTCGTTCATTCTCTTCTGGACCCTTGCGTATGGCCTCGTCCACATCTACTAGCTGCGCCGCCTCGTAACGTTAACTTGCTTCTTGCCCTTTCTTGTACCCGCACCGTCCGTCACGACGCACTACGCGACGCACACGGTACGTAGCATTGGCGAGCCTACGCACGAGGCAGCTGCATCGAGACGTAGCCACGCTGAGCGCTCCTGGGAATGGACTGCGCTTGTACGCATTCTTGGATCGTCGCTTGCAATCCATGCCGCTGTATTGTTTGCTGGATGGCCTTGCTGGATCTGTGCTTTCGCATGCCAAGACGTGTAGATAGATACTCGTCATATTCTGAGCCTGGACGCAGCGCCGCGAGGTTGAAGCCGGGCGACCGCAGCTCGTGCAAAAGTCGGCTGCGTCTCACCTGCCGTCGTCACAACGAACAAGAGAATGACAAAAATCGAGACGACAGCCGAACTGTACGTGCACACGCCGTCGTTGTTGACGTGAGTCTTCTACACTCGACTGGTTCGAGACCGTGGGCTTTCGGCGCCAAGCGTATTGCGACCGAACGGCGGCTTCAAGGAGGCGATCTAACGATGGCTAAGATGGCATGATACGCCATGCATTCCACTTGGGATTCATTCGTTCTTGAAGAAGACACATCGCTCGGGTGGTGCAGGTGTTTAGGAGGAGACGCGTGGCCTAGAATGCGGACGGCGTCATCAACTATGACATTGCGATGAATGCGATCATATAGCACCGATCCCATACAACAGACAGAGGAAGCAGGATGGCTGGCTAATAGTGCATTGGCATGCTGCACACTGCGTACGACATTCTTTGTGGGAGTGGAAGAAAGCAGCTCGCTTGGACGAGTCGTGAGGAAGGAGTAGAAGCGATCCAAGAAGAGAAGATAGCAATGGGGTTTCCTTGCGTCTACTTCTCACTCGAGCCAGCTGGATTTGTCAACGACGTACACCCGACGTGGCTGCGTGCACGATACCGGTACAGTAGCTTCATGGAGTACCTGGTACATGCTGCAGTCGCGAGGTTGTAGACTCCTCGTGAACAGTGCGGGTGATCTATGCTCGTCGTGGCCGGGTGTCGGCGACCCAATGCAGGATAACGGGCTGCGCCGTCGCTGTCGCCGATGGCTGCGCTGTGACCAACTCGTTGCTTCTGCCAACGATACCACGGTGCTCACGGCCACTTGCCCGATCTCTCTTGCTCACGAAGATTCGCACCAGCACCGAGCCTGTATTACTGTATACATTCGTGTACACTATGTGAACTCGTCCCTCAAGCTACGTCAGCACATACCCAAGACATTCAGCGCCGGCTAAGAGGGCAGTGATAGCGCTGCCACATGGAGGTCAGCAGCGTTGGCGACTCGAACCAAGTCGGGCCAGCGACGATAATCTCATCCAAGAGGCAAGCAGCCGATGTTGTCTCGATCCTGATGTTGACGTAAGGCCACCGACGTCGGAAGGTCGTGCGCCAACCGTTCGCACCGGCCGATTCGGCGGCACCAGGCGGCAACCAATCCGCTAAAACGTCTGCTTCGGCGCGTCACGAACCCAACTTGCGTATGACGTGGCACGGACACAGTTGAATTTTTGCGCCGATGCACCAAGTGCGGACCGGGACGTGGACGTCGGAGGAGCACGAGCTCTTCCTCGTTGGCATTCAGAAATACCCGAAAGGACCTTGGCGCAAGGTCGCCGAGCTCATTCGGACGCGGTCTGTGCGCCAGACACAGACCCATGGGCACAAGTTCCGACTCAAGCTCGCACGCATCGAGGCCCAGCGCTGGGTCGGCGGCTTCCGATACCCCGTGCACCCGACCACAGCCCCGCTTATTGTCACAGACGAGCTGCCGCCACTCGCCCACGCCCTTGACTTTATCCTCGAGCAGCTCAGCGAATCTGACGACGTCGAACGACGACCGACCACAATCCGCTATGGTTGCATCTTCCTAATACAACACACTACCTTGCCTGCCGTACATCGCTTGCCGCTGTGCGTCGACCCGTACATAGCCAGTGTTTTAGCGCGCTGTTGATGGATTGGGCGGGCACCGCACCCGTCTTTGCGTTTCTACAGCGCAATCTTGAGTCTGTCAAGCCGTCTTCAACGAGGTGCGTGACGTCGTCGATGCCACGGGATGTGCTGCTACCGATGCTTGTACGAGTAGCAACTGTACCACTAAATGTACTGTAGTATGCACGAAGCGCGTCCGCTGCTTGCTGATTGGTGGGATAAAGACACGATCGGTTGGTGCTGCTACCAATCCGCAGCGCCGTGTTCTTCCAACGAGGACCCATCCAATTCACTTCCATCGAGGAGGAAGACGACCGTGAGCAATCTTCCATTGCGCGGTCACGCGAGTGAAATGCATCGGGTCCCTTGTTGATGTCTGGGCACCGCTGCTGCTCAACACTGCATTCGATCGATACGACGACGACGAGCACCACCGCCACAACGACACGCAAGCACGTGCAGTACCGGTAGACTATAAGCCCCGACTCGTCCACAATGTCGTCCATCCGACGCGACACTTAACGAGAAACTGAATACCGTGTAGACAACATTTGGTAACCGATCGATTGCATCAAATATGGAACGTGTGTGCGCAGTTGACGACAAGATGACGCAACTGGGGCTATCTCAGCGCGCGACAATTTTCCCAGTCGTCGTGGCCAGCGCTGCTTCGTTTACACTAGCCGCACGCCAAGGTGATTTATTCACGTACCACCTCAATCGACATACACTATTTACGGTGCGCTACGTGGCATCGTGTGCGTGCAGGAAGTCGAAAACAGATGTTGCAGTAGACACAAACCCCTCAGTCGTACCACAATCAAGAAATAGTGCTTTCATCACGTGTACGGCAGCCACCACGCTCTTTCTAATAGCCTACACAAGCGCACAGGCTTGTATGCATGAACTGTGCGTATCCGTCTCGCATCTTGGGCGCCGACCGTGGCACGCATGACGACACGACAGTCCTGTGATGCGGCGCTATTTGCACCCACTTTAAATCCCTGCTGGTGGCCACCGAGTGCCAACCACCAACGTTGCCAACGGCTCGTTTTATAGCAGACACTCGGCTACAACATCTGCGCGTGGGTCCGAACGAACGTTGATGAACACTTCCGTATCCGTAGTGCTATCGGACGCATCCGGATGAATCGACGTGGCGTGCAATTGTTGTTGCTTGTTCGGTTACCTTGGCCTTTTGTTTTCTTCTCGAGCAGACGCGACAGACCACATCATTTGGCTCTGCTACAACATAGAAAATCGAACCAACACAGTACCTGGTAGATGCCTGGTGCAAGCCATCTAAAGTTCGGTGTCGTCTGATCAGCGTACGCTGACAAGAACAACGACCAAAGACACTGCGTCGACCAAGCACGCTTGTCTTCATTGCGTGCGATAGACCAGGGTGCACGGTATCCATTGGCGCGGTGCCGCGTGGCGCGATGCCTTGGCCTTGGCCATGCGTGCTCGTCCGTCGCACACGACTAACGCGAGTAGCTCGTTCTCGATTCCCAGATGTACCGAGGACGTGGCCGCAATGGTTTAAACACGTTTTACGTGTCCGCGGAAGCGTGTTGCGGTGGCGATCTCTGCCGACCAATGTGAGGTTGCTCACGCCCCGTATCCACGCTGCCTTTTTCTCGGTTGCAAGCAC